GATCCAACTCAGTGTTTCATACTTATTAAACTCTATTCGCTTAGCACTATGTAAGTAGCCTTACTTACGCTACTATACTTCAGTTTTGTCCTCTTGTTCCCTACGTACCTTCATAGGGACATCCTCAGCCAATAGACCCAGTTGTCTATTCAAGCCAGTCTGCGCTCTAGCTTTTTCAGTTTGCGCCTCTCAAACCTCTATCAGCTATAGAGGCTCAGTCTATCCAGTCTAGTATCAAGAACAGCACGTCAGCCTTACGTGTACCAAGTGTCAGGTCCAGTTCTCAGTTGAACTCCTGATCCTCAGTCGACAGGTCCCTTAACATTAGGACAACAAAACTCTCCTAGGACCACTAGTGCCTAGTCGCAAGAAAACCACAGTGGCTACAGCAGTAGGACAACCACCAGTAACCAGGTCTCAAGCAAGACAACTCCTTTGCTTTAATAAAGTCCACGCCTATAACAGAAGCGAAAGAACCAACCAGTGGAACAACAGTTCTTCTTGGCAGTATTGTGCCAATTCAGTGTGCCCAAATAGGAAAAGAAATAAAACTATCCCTTCTCTGACTACATACCTAGCTCCTATCGGTAGTAAAGAAGACCGACACTCAGTAGTACCCCCACTAGCGGAGAAACCCTCCCCAGTACCCTCATACCTCACTCCTACTACTGCATCAACGAGCAGAAGTGTAATAACTCCTACACCGCGCACATCACCACTCCAGTTAACCACCAAACCCCTGCCTAGTGAGTTAACAGACACTAGTCCTACCCTCAGAGCCAGTAATTTCTCAGGAGTCTTTGACTCACCTAACCCAATCACCACCACCGGTCCAGAAGAAGAGCAACACCCAACTTCTGAGTCATCAGAAACCAAACCAGGACCTTCTAGGACAACAGTCGACCCCACTCCTCAAAAAGAACCTACTGACAGACACCTGAACAACCCAGAAGACGGAAACCCGGAACCTAGCGATCAGGAAGATGAAGAAGACATGTCGGACAACAACAGCAGAGCAGTAAACAAACCCAACCAATTTGAAGGAGACAAGGGAAAAAGTAAGGAATTCCTGGACGAGTTATACCTATACTTCGAGGGGAACTCCAAGAAGATCCAGACTGATAAAGATAAAGTCCAATGCGCCCTCTCTTACATCAAAGGACCTGCCCAATTCTTTGTTCACACTATCATCACTGATGCACAGGAACCCATCTCGGATGATGATAATGCGCCACTTGCAGGACTACCCAGTTGGGTCAAATTCAGGAAATCCTTCATTCAAACCTTTAGAGTCGAGGAGAACACCCAAGCAGCCTTAAATGAGATTAGCAAGTGCACCTGGGACAAGTGCGGAGGAAATGGCCTTTGATTCATTACTACCCTCCGACCTCTCCTACAAGCCAGTGGACTAAATGAATTAGGGCAAATTCGAGAACTCCAACGTCTCATTCCTCCCGCCCTTCTTCTCAAAATTGCCGCTCAACCACCATTACCAGTCACTGCCATAGGATATCTGAACAGCATTCAATCCATCTGTCAATCTATGATCGACATCTTTGGTGACAAACCCCTCTTCATGACATCTGCCAATCAATCCTTCGGATGCAACCGTGGCAGATTTGTAGGTCGCAACCGAGCAATTGAAACCGGAGAAGGATTGTTAAGGGACCTAACGACTGAGGATCAGGAGTTCAACTGTTTAACTGT